GTTGATTTGAAAGCAGGTGGTAGAGTTTTGAGCTCTATTTTTCACCCTTTTGAAACCACTGATTGAACCCATATGTCTGTGACATCTGGGACCCAGAGGGAGGCAAACTGTAAGACTTAGGAGTGAGGGTGCCCCTTCATTGTGAAGAGGGCTTTGGGAGGTTTGATGGCCTTTGTGGGTCATGCTTTCCATTGAAAGGAAAGGCTGAACGTACATTTTGAAGTTGAAGCCTGGTTAGAGTGGATAGGTGCACTGCATTTGGAGGATGTTTTTGAGGTCTTCCGCTGTGAAAGTAGAACCTTCCCACCTGTGACCTCTTTGATGAACTGGTAAAGTTCCTCACCAAATGGACATCTTCCTTTGGAAAGCATACGTGGAAGGTGCTTCTTGCAGGCAGCTTCAGTGATCCAAGCTTTCAGCCATAAGATTCTGTACATGCGAAATGGAGCCCTTCTGGAACTGAGTTGCATGACATTTTTGGGGGCATTCACACAAAAAAGCAGATCAGACGGCAGGGTCATGTTTGTTGCTCATTTCTAATTTCCAGGTAGCTCCAAATGTGACATACTGAAATCGCAGCAAGAGCTGATTGCAGGGCTGGGCCTACAAAAGCAAAAACTTTTAAGAGCATCTCAAATTTCCTACGTGCATAATTTTTGAAAGAAGGAATATCTTCAATACATACAGCAAGTAACCTTTTTAGGACAGACAAGGCAGATTAACTACAGTACTAGCCCAATTCTTTGAAAACACTTTTTCTACTGGATAGTTTAGCAAAGATTTGGGGTAGAAAAAAAAAAACCCTTCCTAAATTGACTGCACATTATGTTTATGAACAGAGAATGTTTTTGCAGATTTTGAAGGTCCCTTTGCACCCAAATGGGCATGATAAGCTAGAGGAGAGTCAGGCTGCACAATGCCAAGGCTTTTGTCGACAGAGGCAGTGCGCTTTTCAAGGTTAGCAAGCATGTTGCAAGCTTCCTCTTCAATATGGTGACAGTCCGAGGAAGTAAACTCTTCCACTATTGCCTGAATATCCTTTTTGTTTCCCTTTTATCTGTGTTCTCTAGAACCAGCATATTAGGTTCCAATTCAGGTTGGAAAACAAAATAGAAGAGGCATGGCCTATTTAAACCCTGGGCGAAGATGACCATTAGAGCCGGATCTTGCTTCAATACAAGGGACATATCACTCTTAAATTGAGCGATGTGTGGCTTTTGAAATTAATGTCCTCCTGCAATTTTGCATTGGTTCCCCTTTCATCTAGACTCCTCCATAGCTACAAGTGAGGGTATTCCCCTGTGGGATACACATAGAATACAGTATGGAGTATAGGGGGTGTCTGGAAGGAGTATGCAGTAACCCAGGCACAGCTGGGCAGGGCTCCGCCCACATTGCCACTTCATTTAGTCTTCTGTGAATGGACTACAGGTCCCGACAGCCTTAGCGGATGCCAGCTTGTAGTCCTCAATGAACTACCGCTCTGGAGTGCTGTGGTAGTTTCATTGATTCTTCCTGTCAGTATTGGCTTGCTCGTACGGGATGTACAAGCAACCAGATATATTGACAGTCAGCAGGAGACCTGCATGGCATCAGTGATCTGCTGATTGTGGTGCAATGCTTTAGAGGCTCCTAAAACAACAAAAACCCTGCAAAAGATGTGAATTTATTATTTTGTGTAAAAGGTGAACTTATCCTTTAAAAGGGTTCTAGGCAGAAGTGTTTTGGCTGATGAGGTGTTACATCACAACATCCAAACTTTATATCCAACAGTTTAGTATAGCAGGCGCCCTTCCTCATACATACGTATCTATTCACATTTAGATAATGCAACACACATTAGATTTTTATAATTTATTTACTAATAAAATTTTGTACACATGCCGTCTAAAACCAGTATGAAAGATTTCACAATCCTTTAAAGTGATACTAAAGGCTTTTTTTTTTCCCTTTTAAACAAATATGCTACACTTACCTGCACTCTGCAGTGGTTTTGTAGGGGTCCGCCCCGATCCTCCTCTTCTCGGGTCCCCTGCCGTCACTCCTGGCCCGTTCTTCCTGCTAAGCCCAGGCTTGATTTGGGGGAACCAAAGCAGGCTCGCTCCCAAGCTGCACCTCTACGTGTCCATTCGTACACACGGCTCGACCTCGTTGCCTCTCTCATTGGCTGTGATTAACAGCAGCGAGAGCCAATGAGGAGCAAGAGTCCACAGAGAGCCGAGGTTATTGTGCACAGCACTGGATCGCGAAGGGGCTCAGGCAACTATTAGGGGGACTTAGGAGGCTGCTGCACAGGTGGTTTTTACCTTCATGTATAAAAAGCACGAAGGTAAAAAACCTTTACAACTACTGAACTTTAAATAATCAAATATATGTCTGCAACCAGCTCATATAAAAGCACTTTACCTGAGGAAATGTGACCTAGATGCAGAGAACTGTGCTTTAGTCAAACAGTCCACTTGTTGCAAGTCTAAAATAGAGATAGAATCAGATCCAGAGACTGGTGTTAGAGCTGGCTCTTGCTTCAGTACAAGGGAAGCATCACTCTGAAATTGAGTGTTGTGTGGCCATTGGCAGAGTGTGTTCGCCTGCAATTTTGCATTGGTTCACTTTCTTCTAGTCTCCACCATAGCTACAAGTGAGGGTATTCCCGTGGGATACACATAGAATACAGTATGGAGTATAGGGGTTGTCTGGAAGGAGTATGCAGTAACCCAGGCGCAGCTGGGCAGGGCTCCACCCACATTGCCACTTCATTTAGTCTTCTGTGAATGAATAGACTACAGGTCCCGACAGCCTTAGCGGATGCCAGCTTGTAGTCCTCAATGAACTACCGCTCTGGAGTGCTGTGGTAGTTAAAGTGAGGGTATTTCCCTGTGGCATACACACGGAATAAGGTGCAGAGTATAGGCTAAGTGTGTCTGGAAGGAATATGCTGTAACCCAGGTGTAGACTGTCCTGCAGCAAGTCCTTGTGATGAAAGGGCAGGTAGAGTCCCCGAGTACCTTAAAAGGGTTTTAGGCAGAAGTACTGTGATGCAACACTCCATCTCTAGCGACCCCCCTCTGAGGACACGCTTGAGCACGATACGCCTCAGGAGGAGCCACGTCACGCCACCAGAGCAACGTGGAGCTCCGGCGGCCATCTTACTACACCAGACGGTCAGTCCTTACAGATCACTGTCTGCAACTAATCATTATGTGTTTTTACCTTGATGCATCACAATAAAGCTTCTTACAAATTACTACACTATGGAAGTATCCTTATCAGCCCCTGGGGGAGTACTTTAGTCCACAGACACGGTCCCTAGACGGATTACTGCTACATAGTGGAACCAGCTCACCCAGAGGGATACCACCTACCAGGAGCACATAGGGGGACCCCTAGTGGAAGAGGACCACCAGCTTCATACCAAACAGAGGAAGGACCACCCACTATCAGATGACATCTTGATTTTTTAATACACAAAAGCACATTTAATATGCAAGTCCGGTGAGTGCCCATTGCCTTATCACTACCACACGGATACCGGACTCCTATGTCACCTGAGCACTTTAATCTTTATAATAATTTCCTGGACTATTTCTTCGTTTTTGAACTTATATTTATGTATTTATTTATATAGGATCAACCTTCATTCCAATACATATATTTGTTTTTAATACCGAGCGCTGCACTTTATATAAACACTCCATCTCTGGTTGAGTTTTAACACCAAGTTTGAAAAGTTTGCACTGCAAGATGAATATATTCCAAAGACAGCCCCATTTTTAGTGTCAGCGATACAGGGTGACTGTCTTACCTGTCCACAATGCCAGTGTACATTCGAGTACAGGCTCCGCTTGTCACAGTGGGCATACGTCAAAGGGCTCTTTAGAGACTGGGTTCCATAGCAATGGACCAGTCCTGGACCTGTATAGCACCCTGCAGCTGATTCATCACATTGTACCAAGTGCAAAGGTGAGTGACCAAATAGAATCTGGTACCCAAAGCAACAATACAGTTGCACTGCTTCTATGTTGGCATTCAAAGATAGTAAAGGAGTTGAAGTATTTTGAAGATGAAATAATAAAACTAGCTAAGCTAAGGGTGATTATTTGAAGGAGAAAAGATTCAACACCTTCAGACACTAGCAAATAATAAAAAAAAAAAAACCCCACAAACTATGAGCGGAGAACTTTTATAGCCAATGTCCAATCACCTGAAGATATATGCCATGTGGTGTATGAATATTCTGCCTGTGTCCTTACTGTACGATTAAAATATTTATAAATGGTTGAGATTCTACTGTAAACAACTTTGGAAGTATAATGCATACCATTACAAAACAACTAATCTCTGAATGCTGCATGAATTATAGTGCATGTGGACTGCGCCAAGCTCAACTGCAGGCTTTGGTCACAACCACCTAAGGAAGCATGTGTAAGCAACTCTATTTCACTGTTGTAGCATGGTGACAAAATCATCACAGACCACATAAACAATTTACTTTATAGTACACAGTTTATAAAAGTAACCTTGTGGCCTCTGGCCCCAACGCAAGTTTAGAAGGGGCCTGCCATCCCTACACTTCCCCATCTCCCTCATACATACATATCTATTTACATTTAAATAATGCGGCACACGTTAGATTTTTCTAATTTATTTCCTAATAAAATTAATTTTGTACACATGCAGACTAAAACCAGTATGAAAGATTTCACAATTCTTTAAATAATCCTTAAATATAACAGTGTCTGCAACCAGTTCATATAAAAATACGACATTTTACAGCAATTCAGCAACAGAAGCTGTTTTAATACATAAATCTAGATCAAAGTCATCAGACCATGATTTCGTAAGAAATATACTGTCAAGGTATAATGTGCAAAAAGTACAGATTGAAAGAAAACCAAAACAGCCTGTTAAATGTCTTTTTAATGTAATTTATTAGAAAATCACAATGACAAGAGTCCTTATCCAGCAAATTATTTCTATTTGCTTCATAGGTGATGGAGAGTTCAGCGTCTGTGTCTGCTGTGTCCAGAATGACCACTGCTATGATGTTTGCTTTTATGTGACCTTTCAAAAGAGCGTGATCGTTCCCGTCTATCCCTGTGATGATGGCTGTGGTCATGTCGGTGCTTCTTTGCAGGATCCCCATGTTCCCTGGATTTGCCTGGGGTAGGGGAATGTGATTTTTTCCGTTTATGTCCATGTCTGTTTGAACCCCTCAGATCATCCCCACGATGCTTGGATTTGAGGTGTGGTGACCCATGATTGTGATGTCTGCGTGGGCTATCACTGTGGCTTCGAGAACGGCTTCTTGACCTTGAGCTGTAGGTTCCGGATCGACTCCGTCGGTTGTTGTAGCTTGATGAAAAGAAAACCCATTTAGTGGCGTCTGATCTATCAACATTGAACCCTGCATTACCATAAAACAGGCATGTCAAACTCATGTTTTTGGGCTGCTTATGCCCCCCCCCTTCACTCTGCTCCTTTGTGAGCCTCATTGATTGAAGAATTTGAACTGTGACTCCAACTGAAAAGGTTACACATCCTTACATAATTTTTAGGTTTCATTTACCCTCTCAGAAATAAGTATTGCAAACATTACAGTAAAAAAAAATAAATAATAATAATATACATCCTAGGTCCTACATGAGGACCTAAGTGGGACAAAATGCATGTAAACATTTGTGCCAATGTTTACATGTGTCCAGTGTACATGGAGGATCCTGCTGGACGATACCGCTAACTAGAAAATAATGTGAAGCCAGCATAGAATCTGAAGGCATACAGTGTAATCAAGCAGGCTCCACCCACTAAGACACTGTTTACACCTCCCCCATGAATGAGTCATTATGTTGCATGGACATACACTGTAAGAGATTAAATAAGTACATAGGATGTTGCTAAAAAAAAAAAAAAAAAAAAAAAAAAAACTTTTGCTAAACACCAAAAGCATTTTGATGCTCATTCAAGTAAGGCCTCATACATGGAAACCATAAGAGTTTTGGCTGTACTTCTTTTAACTATGCCTTGTTGATCGGCACCGCTGTGTCACAGAAGTCACCTGCCATCTACACTAGATGTGCTAAGAAGAGTCAGTACAGGAATCACTGCTTGTAGGCAGTAAGGTACCATGGGATACACAATCCTTACAAATTGAAAATAAACAGCAGAGGACAAGTTGCAAAGCATGCTGGAAATCCAAGAAGTTGTGGGAAAAGATGGCCAGCAGACAGGCTGAACTCACAACACAACAAATCTATTGTTTGTATTGCTATTACAATGCCAGAGTAATAAAATGAAAGTATATGCTGTGACTATAGATTTCCTTTAAAGAGAAACTTTACCCTCGCAATCAACAATAACTTCTTAACCCTTATGTAGGCCATGCATAGGTTGAATTCTGAACAAATTTATTTTGGGAAAATTAGAAATTTTGTGCATTTTGTAATTCGAAGGTGCGACCAATGATTTCAAAATGTAACCAACCAAGCCTTCAATTGCACTTCATGTTGCTACAGAAAAGAATTTTCGTGGCTAGGAATCTTCTTTTCTTTGCAGGTCACAGCTCATGCTCATTTCTTTTTCAGTTATATTTCTCGCATGATTCTCCCATCATCGATTAGACAATCATTCGTTTTCCAAAAAATTTCCAACATGCAGATCACTCGAATTTGATGGCCGCACGAAAATTTGCTGATGCTGCAGCCCACTAATGGTGTGAAATGTGAAGAAAAAAAAATATGTAGTTACGATTTTCGAAAGAAAATTAGTTCACAATGTGACCCATGTATGGCCTACATTCGTTTTTTGGCCTAGACCAAAATGAGGTCATACATGCCAGGAGTTTTCAATGGCTTTTTTAATTTTTTTTTTTTATCTGTAGAACGGTTTTCTCAGCAGCTAAGCACACTCTCCTGCATGCGTACCTGACCTAAGATCAGATGGTTTTCAGGCAGTAAACGTTACACGAATCATCTTCCCTTACTCAAGACTGCCTAAGCTAAAAACACTATGGGGGCGTTTTTCAAAATGGTTTCTCAACAAAATTAAAGCAAGGAGAGACATGGATAGAGGAGTTTACATTAAATATCAAAAATAAATTCAACAGCGTTTTTGGTGCTCAGATACAGTAGAGTTCCTCTTTAACTTACTGTCTTCGTGGAGATCGAGATCTTGATTTTGTCCGCGATCTTGATCTACTGCCACTTCGGCTTCGTTTCATTTCCTTTCGCAACCTATCATATAAAGAAAATATAAAATAGAAATCGTTTTGCAAGTGGCCAAATGACAATGTAAAACAGAAAGGGCACTGGAAGATAAAAATATGTCAACCAAACTCAATATTATTCAACTACGGCATAATACAGCAATACAAAAAAAGGCTCCCATTTGTCAAAGATGTGGTTAAATAAAAACTAAATTATTTCTCTTTACAATTAATTCTTAAAGACTTTACAGCTTTCCAAATTTCCCAAACTGGATTTGTGGTATAAAGCTCCACCCGAAAGGGGAAGTTCCGCTTTAAGACATCCTCCCCCTTCCTCTGCCTAACCTGGCATGTAAGTTTGGAAAGGGGAAGAGGGGGGGTGTGGGTACCTAGTTTTGACAGGTACCCGCTCCCACTTCCGCTTGGATTGCCGAGGCAATCCAAGAGGAAGAAGTTCTTCTCGCCCCTCCCTTCCCACACTCTTTTGGGACATATCACAGGTCCCGGAAGACTGCGGAACCATTCAGGAAGCATAGTGCGGCGCACACATGTGCAGTGGGCAGCCTGCTGTCAAACCGAAAACTGGACAGTTGGCTGCCCGCAGTTAGGATGCTGGCATCAGGAACCCGGAGGCTAGTAAAGAACTAGCCTGGTTGAGACCAGTGCTGGATCCTTGGACAGGTCATTTTTTTAAACTGGTGTTAAGTACAATTCATACATCGCCCTGCCAGCAAATCCAGCCCCCCTCTAGTTGCAGTGAATGGAACATGAAGCATCTTGGGTTATGTGACCTGCATATCCCAGGTGGCTTCAAAGCAGAGGAGATATTTTCACAAAAGTGAGAATGGGGGCCAGAGTAGACCAAAAAAAAAAATAGTAACTGGAAGACTGGGGAGGGGATGGGATGGGGTTAGAATCAAGCTATGCTGCCCATTGCATCGAGCAGTCAGAGGTCCGCTTTAAGGATCTGCTTAAAGAAGCAATTCTCAACAACTTCAGTATCTAAACATCATCCCAAACATTACATACCCATTATAGGGGCTCTTTAATGACTGCTTTTCATCAGGTTCACGTTTGACTTTTGCAAGTACTGGAGATTTTTCTTCAACTTTCACTTCTCTTGGAGTTGCTGCAGAAAAATGACAATTTGAGGTGTTAATGCAAAAATGCACTTTTTAAATCCACCTATTGTGCTGTACAAGGAAAGTGGGAAACAATAGGAACTGCTGTAATGTCTCTAAACTAAACAGATTCTGAAACTGTAAAAATAAAGAAAGAACCTGTAGACATACTTGCACTTTTACTGCCTGAACGTACTGATATTTGGAAGAATTCAAGCTTCTGACAGCTGGATACTAAATATGAGCTTATAATTACAATATTCACCAGTTACTGCTTACTAACCTTAACATGAATCTACACTAAAAGTATCCTTTTCTGCATTCTAATGTCACAATGTATTACAGTATGAATATCAGAATAGCCCTTGGCTGAATGCCAATGCCATCCTTTAGACAAGCTAACTAAAAAAGTTAACCTACTTATGGGGACTGAGAAAAAATCCAATCAAATCATACCACATTTCAGAACCCTTTTTACATAAAACAAGTCTGGACAGAGGCCAGGAAAGCAATACACCTAAATATTACTGCTTAAATCCTATTACCAATATTGATCTTAACAGAATGTTTTCTAGCCACTCAGGCTTCTGAAAATGACATTGTTTTGTTCTGCCATAGAGGGCTTGATCTTGCCCTACCCAGTGTACAAATATAGATATAATTGATGTAATGGGGAGCAAGACAGAAATAAGAAAATTAAAATAAAAACAATGTACACAAATTGCTGGGAAACAGGCTATTAAACTACCTAGACAAAAAAACAAAAAAACACAAAACCACCACATACATGGTTTAGATGCTGGAGAAAAGCCTCCCATTGTAGAAAGAGCAGGCGTTCCATCAGGGTTTAATCCCTTAGCCTTTAACTTGGCTTCTTGTAAGGTCACTTTCCGCTTTTCTACTTCTTTCTCCAAAACTTCAAAATTTGGCTGTTCAGAAAAAAAATAAAATATCACATTAAATATCAGACAGATGAAAAAAAAATAAAAATAAAACAAAAACACATATGTGAGGCTTCCTTTTGGGATGCTCTGCAGGCATGTAAAAGGATCAGTCCTCCTAAAACAGATATTTTAGCTTTTGGCAGATGATGAATACTTTTTTTTTTTTTTTATCTCCAAGAGAGTCTGCTGGCCAGATATCTGCACATATGCCTTGCCTATGAGGAGGTGGTGAACAACTACCCCTGCTGGAATTTTGTTTTATATTTTACAGGATACAACTGCAGGTTCTGGAACATGACAAGTGAAAAGAAATAAAGTCAAAAATCATGCTGGTGAAATTTTCCTGAAGTGCCCAAAGTCAAATAGAAAGCCAGGAGCTAAACGTTCAGATTCCACACAGCTGAAAGGTAGCCAACCAGGTAAATATCTTGCAGCATGCAAGCGAATGTCTGAGGCTATTATATGCAGAAGCCTGCAGAATGGTATAACTACCGACAAACCCTCTTTTCAACATTACATTTACAGTTCATGAAGACGGTCGGGTAGAGTAGCAAACCACTCCTGAAACAACCTCCCAGACCAGCACCTGTATTACCACACACTGCAGGCCACATAGCTCAATAGTAGACAGTGTATTGAATGAAAATTATAGTCAGTAAAACAAAAAAGAATTAACACGTTTAGGCAATATGCTAGTTTGTCCCAAGGGCTTCATTTAAGCAGTGGCATTTACAAGACTGGTCAAAACACTACTTGCAACTCATTGTGCATTCTAGTGACCTCTAGAAACATTTTGAATAACAGGTCTTAAAATGCATACGAAGATATGTACCATTTTCAGCTGAATCATAGTATAAGTAAAATTTGACCAGACCATGACTCACTAGCTGGAAAACATGCACGAGTGCATATGATATTTTTATGTAATCAGCTTTTTTGTGTTCGGAACAAAGCATTAAAAGCGACAATATCAAACTTTATAATAGAAGGACTTTACCTTTTTTCGGGTATAAAGTCTTAGAGCTGTGACACAGACCTCCTGCATGTTTTCCTCAGTAGCTCCAAAAAGTAAAAACCAGTGAGGTTTATTGGGTAAAGAAATCTGAAACAAAAAAGGAGAACGTTCCAAGACAAACCGTTATTAAAAAAACACTACACATTGGCAAATTTACTCTCAAGCACACATCTTGAATAAAGTTAAGCACAGGCTCACCAGACAACTTCTTACTACATACACATTACCAGCAGTTTAAAAAAAACAAAAAAAAAAAACAACGTGTAAAAGGGGGCTAAGAAAGGTCTCTGGATTCCAAAGTGGTCAGGTACTTCCTGATCGGAGGATTATCAAAAACTGTTAGCCTTTAGCACCTTGTGCCTGAAAATCTAATATATCCTGACTTTTTAAAACACAGTCAATTAGCAGTAGCTCTTAGCATTGCAGTCCAATAGAACCAAAGACCAAGAAATACTCCATCTAGAACTTAAAGCCAGCAAATCTGAAGTAAGAATGGCATGGAGGATAGAGTCATCTTCATGCTAAATTTACCCCAACTTCAATATCTCCCACCTAGCAAAGCTACCTTGTCACTTTTCAACCTCAGAAAAAAGCATCCATGGTGTCAAAAGACACAAAAGGAGAAGCACACCTTACCTGCAATACTCTTGCAGCAAGATAAATACAAGCACATGCAATCGTTTCAGCATCAAATCTGACAAACACATTTGTACGAAGGCAATCATTCATGTAATTCCTGAAAAACACAAAATATGGAAACTGGTTAATTGCAAAATGTGCCATACCAAGCACAAATCCTTTGGAGACTCGGCATACTTTGTTTTTTCTTCTCTCTGAAGTTTAACATAAAATCATAATATATACACAATTCCATTTTAGAGTAGAACAAAGATATGGAAGTGGTCAACTTTTAATTTAGAAATTACTGTTCTTTAGCTAGTTTGAAAACAGAGCCACCAATATTTTACTGACAAAACAAAAAGAAAGCAGTACATCCACTATAAATGAATTCATAATTATAAAAATCAAAGCTCTGACCGCACTAAGATTCTTTCCAGAAATTAAGAAAAACAAAAAAAAAAAAAAAACTTATAGTAAAAATCACTAGTTCAGTAGAACTGCTATTTTCTATTAGCCAAAGGGCTCACTGTTAATCGCTGAAGACATTTTTTTTTTCACCTTAATAGAGCAGCTCACACAACATGCCAACATGTATAAGCGTAAGAAAAGCTTTAACAAAGTATGAAGTGTGTTTTTTTTATCATCATTAAGGTTTTAAAACCTTTTAAAAAGGCAGTGTTCTGGCTATATACCATATATATATATATATATAGATCACATTTGTATTACTTTATAGGAAAGGTCCACTACAGCTAATTCAGTTTCCAAGAGGCACACATGTACTTATTTTGTAAGTTCATGATCATTTCCAGCCATGGATAAACCATGGGATGTATTCACTGAAGAAAATACACTTGGCATAAATGACAATACCGTAGCAGTCTTCTGCTCTTTAGAGTCAATTCTGAGTAAATTGAAATACAAAGTCAAAGTTGAAAACAATACAGCTGACATTAGTACATTAGAAATAAACCCTCAATATCTAAATTGCTCTTAAAGAGCCAAGAGGATTACACTGGTGAAATGATTTGGTTTAAGCCAAGGAACTGCTCTTAGCGACACAGGCTTCGAGCATTAAAGAATGTGTGCTTGTTGGATCAGACATGTCAGGAAAAGGGGAAAAAACAAAAACAAAAATATGAATGACTGCTCTAATGCATAAATGAATATAACATTATGTTAACTCACCTTACTTTAATTCATAGAAGTGATACTTTTCTAATAAAGTACTGAATGGATTATCTCCTTTTCATACATGACTAATTTTCTAAACATCATATAGGGATATGTAACTAAATATATACCTTTCCCTGCTAAACAAAAAACACAGAATTCTGAGAGCAAATATACAAATCCTTTGGACCCCAGGACAGAACTAGGAGATGCGGCCAGATGGATATGGACCACTTCAGTGAATCTCGGATGAAAGCTTGCACTGCATTGGCTGAAGAGAAGGGCAGCCAATCAGGCCATCCAGAGGTTGGTGTGGTGCTGAGGGTACAGTTCTATGACTTACCATCATGGACTACCCTTTAACCAAAGAGTAGAAAAAAGAACAAAGTTAAACAGAGATCTCCAATCGAGGTCTAGTTCAAGCCATGAAAACAGTAAGCAGAAACATGTATGTAGCCATATGTTCTAATGATTTGCTCTCTAGTTAGTTCTTGGAGCAGATACACATTTATAAATATTTCTGCTACTATTTCCCTGGCTCATTAAGAAATTAAAAAGAAGCTTACCAAGCGGTTTGAACCAGAGTTTGATTTTTTTCACATTCCAAGACCTGAAGGTACATTACAATGATCTGAAAAATAACAAAAAGTTTTAAAAAGGTTTTCTTCAACATTTGACATAAGGGTGGAATTATGCACAATTCCGTCTTACATAAAGGTTCTGTCATAACATGGGATTACTGACAAGTAAAGGCCGATACTGAAACACAGAGTTAGGCAGGAACAACTAATCTCCCAGACAGGCAAAAAAAAGTCAAATAATGGCAGGAAGGTCTCACTATAGTCAGTAAGTCAGGGAGTAACTAAGCCCACTATGTTTCACCACTAAAACTAAAATATCACTTTTGGGCGGGACAAAATCTTTTTAAGATCACCTATATTTAAGAAGCAAACCCCTACTATTCTGACCATCCTGTTCCTATATATGCACAAACAAAGGAAGCAATGACATACCATCTGAACAAAAACTGGTCCTCCATACACTCTGATTCTGGCCAAATGTCAAAACTCCAGATAACTGATCATTTAATCTCTGCTGAAAGAAGTGTTACCTGATTATCAGACCACCAAACTATTTCAGCTGCAGTTGCATGGCCAATGATGTGGCAATTAATCACATGGCCAGTACCAGAAAAAGCATGGCACTCTACTTTTCAGAAGGTGCATTTGTGCTTTCCCAGACTTCTTTAGGAAACCATTCTGATAAAAAACATTCTATTGAGGTAACCTATGCCCTGCACATGTATGGTTTTAACAGGGCACATGGAAAAAAATTTGTTACTGAACCACCAGAGTACTAAAATACCACCCTTAAACACAGCTCATATTGCATAGACACTAAATACCAAACGGTGGTATTCTCGCAAAATTTAATTTTTTTTAGGCCTCATTCACTTCTTTGATTATGGATGGCAGCAAATTACCAGCTGTTATACCTAGCACACAAGTAAATTGGCCGAAAAAACAAAACAAAAACAAAAAAAAAAAAAAAAAAAAACATTCAGAGCGATCATCCGATATCTATTTGTTAGTACACAGCTTTCGATCATGACATTTCATTGAACAAATATCTGAAGGGACAAGCATGAAAATATTTCTAAACATAACAGAATAAGTTTCATATAGTTAGGATGGTATTTGTAGAAGAAAAAAAAAAAAAAAAAAAAAAAAAAAACCACATCAAGACCATACATGCTTGGAAGTGACAGAATACACTACAGTACATAACTTCCAAAGTTGTATTCTGTTTAATGAGAATTTTCGTAACTTGAGTAGCTCGTTTTCAATAGGAGACTAAAATTCAAAAAATAAATAAATAAATAAATATGGACGATTATTTGTCCAAATCGTGTGAGCAAGGCCTTAGGAACAGATCATACCTGGAAGCAATCAGTCTGTGCCCAAAAACAATCACCTGTTCCAAACTGAAGGTAATAACTGAATGTGTACATACATGCATAATCTGGTGGGTAGCCGTGGCTCTCCTCTGCCTGCCTTTGCTGCATACAAGCTGAGCAGCTGTGTGCAAACACCCATGATTCCTGCTGCAAGAATTTGCTTCTGGCCATATTCACAGGTGTGAGTGTGGCATTAACAAATACAAAACTGGATTAAAGTGTTTTACATCTGCCCTGAGTTCAACTTCAAGAACCCGCCCCCCCCCCCCCCCCCCCCCAAAAAAAAAAAAAAAAACACACAAGAACCTTTTATAAAGTGAGCACAGGAAGGAACAGAGTGCAGTTATGATCTGTCATGATACCTAAATTAAAAACACATTTTAATGATCAGTATTCATAAATATTAATGCAATGCATCAGCTCACCTTGTGTGGGTGTTTTACATGAACACAAAATCCCAGCTCCTTCAACACTCTTCTTTCCGCCTTGATTACTTGGTTTTTGGTATTTATGTAGCTTTGATCAAGTATGAGTGGACTTGGGGTCCTAATTTGTGGGAAATAAAATCAATATGGGTTTAAAAAAAAAAAATAAAAAAATTACTGTTGCAGAAATTCTCTTTCCTTCCAACCGACTACACGGCAACAGAAACTAACCGTTAGCTTCCTGCAGCCAAGACCAAACCTTCGCCTTGAACTGTCCAAGTTTAATTTAAGAGATATTTGGACATTAATTGAACTGTAATATACACTAGGATTTTTTTTCCTATAAAAACTACTAAGCAAATACGTATTTAAGATCTTTTCGTTTAGATTGAAAATACCCTATAAGATTTAATTAAAAAGGTTTAGCCAGGACACAATGGCATGATCCTTGCAGTTCTTCAGCGCTGAAGAAAATACATGATTCAGAGAGCTTCTAGGGTGACATCCAATCTGTAGTTGTTACAGAAAATGGTTGTTATGGCATTGATGAAATAGTTTCCTATTTGGGTAATTAGATGCAGTAAGAGAATGACATGCTCAACACAAGTCAACCAATGACTGGACAAAGCCTAATGCCTGGTAGCAAAAGCACAGCTGGTTCGCACTTTCCACCTTTGCATGTCAGGGGAAATGCTCATCGCCTGATTCCTAAGTGTACCTATACTCAAAACACTGCTTCGTGTATTATTAAAGTTTGGTCAACATACATTTAGTAAAATTTAGAGGTGTTAATATTCAGTGGAAACCAGACAAATATGAAGGGTTGCATTGTCCTATGCCTTCCCTCCCTAATCTTTATATGCAAAATTGATGTTACATTATTCCTGAACCAGCTATACATTTAAAAAGGGATATTAAATCTTTATTCTTTGTTAAAACAAACCACGTTACACTTACCTTCTTTGTGCAATGGTCCTTCGCTGGTGCTCCTGGCTCCTCTCTCCTTTGTGTACCCTCCCAGCAAAACACTAGCTAAGGGTGGTGCTTGTGCGGGCTCACCCCAGAACCCCGCTGCCTTTGTTCATTGGCATTGCCCCCCCCCCCCCCCACCACAGGATGAGTTCTGCAGGAGCCAATGCTACCGTTATCAATTTGCACTGCTGGGGAGAGAGAGCGGAGATGCTGCTCTTGTGCACATGACTGGATTGAGCTTGGGGGTTGGGGGAGAGATCCTGTGACCCAGTTTTTCGGGGGGGGGGGGGGTCACATTAAACACAGAGTGCATTAAAGAGTTTGTCTTTTTTTTAATTAAAAGTCAGCAGCTACAAAAACTGTAGCTGCCGACCTTTACTAAACACACACTCGCCTGTCCCAGGGTCCAGCGATATGCTCGCACACGCCATCCCTGCTCTCCCTCTTCCCTTGCCGGCATATCAGCTGTGGGCACCAGGCTGTGACGGCTTGTGGCTGGGTGCCCACTGCGCATGCGCAAGTTGCACTGTGCATCCTGATTGGTCCAACAGCTTTGTGGGACCTGTGCCCCAGAAGACTGCGGGAGGAAGGAGGGGGGCCGAACTTTAAGCTCACTTCGCCACAAGGAACTGAGCCAAAGTGGGAGCCGGTACCAATCAAAACCAGGTATCTGCTACCCCCAAGTTGTGCCAAATATGGCAGTGGATGAGGGGGAGGAGGTAAACAAGCGGAGCTGCCACTTTTGGGCAGAACTACGCTTTAACTGCCTCCCGCCCGCAATATAAGGAAATGACGAGTGCAAGGCGGTTCTCTTGTTCTGAGAGGACGTCATAGGAGTCCCACTCTAAGCACTCGTGTGCGGCGATCGGTAGTGCGCATTTCCCTCGGACACAACGGATCACCGATCAACAGAAAGAGCCGAAGACGGCGGCTTGGTCATGTGATCAGCTGATTGCATGTAAATAAGGAAATGCCAGTTATTGGCATCTCTCTCCTCACGAGCTGTCACGCTGCCAGTAATCTGCATTCCTCAGGGGGGACATCTACACTGATCATCAGGGCACTGATGGATCAGTGTAGCCCCAACAGTGCCACCTGTCCGTGTCCCATCAATGCCACCTGCCAGTACCCATCAGTGCCACCTGCCAGTGCCACATATCAGTGCACATCTGAGCTGCCTCTGCCACCTATCAATGCCAGTCAGTGCCACCTATCAGTGCCGCCACTATGAGTGCAGCCTTTCAGTGCCCATCAGTGATGCCTGTCAATGCCCATCAGTGCCACCTACCAGTGCCTCCTCATCAGTGCCACCTATGAGTGCAGCCTATCAGTGCCCATCAGTGCAGCCTCATTAGCGCACATCAGTGAAAGAGAAAAATCACTTATTTACAAAATTTATAACAAAAACTAAGAAAACTTTTTTCTCCAAAATTTTCAGTTGTTTTTGGTTTAGCAAAAAATAAAAAACCCAGAGGTAATTAAATACTAGCAAAAGAAAGCGGTCTCAAAAAAAATGATAAAAATTTCATGAGTACAGTGTTGCATGACCACGCTATTGTCAAAGTGCGACAGCACTGAAAGCTGAAAATTGGCCTGGGCAGGAAGGGGATATAAGTGTCCTGTAGGCAAGTGGTTAATGTAGAACACCATCTGCCTTTAGAACCACGTTAACAACTTTACTGAAACACAACTAACCTGTGTTTAGTAGATCATCTTACAAAAAAAAAAAAAAATATGGAGGTGTATAACAATATCCACGCATTGGCTTTTCCCAAGAATGGCTACAGATGAGAAGTTGTGACATTTGCCTGTCCTTGAATGTTTAAACGCAAACCTATAGTCAAAATGTAAAATTGTGTATACATTTCCACACTGATTTTCAATTATTTCTAGCCTACTCCTATTAATCTGAACAATCTCAAAGATTGCAAAACTTACTTTGAGGATCTTCACACATTAACTACTTTGAATACTGTGACACATTTACTATGCCCTGTAAGTAGGCACTGCTGTGTCACAAAATTCACAGAACCTGCCTTCTGAACTACAGAGGTGCTGAGAGGAGGAGTTTTAGGGGGTGGAGTCAGAACGGAAATCGCTGGCAAGGTATCATGGGATATGTAGGTCTTTAGAAAATGAACGTAAACAGCAGGAGAAGCTGCAAAGCATGCAGGGAATTAATAGTCAAATATAACTATTGCTTGTACGGTTATTAAAACACTGAGGTTATGAAACAAAAAAGTGTATGCTGTGAATAAAGAACTTGTTTCTACTGCAACCTCCTGCAAGCCTCATGACTAAGGGTCCATGCACACTGGCTTAAAGATCACTGCTTCTACAGGAGTTGTGTGTAGAAGCAGCTCAGTGTTATCCTATGTGTCTATACACATTGGGGTGATCAGAGGCATATTTTAAGCTCAGCATTTGGAGGTAGGAAAAAACCCCTTCTGGTTTGCATTTTTGATTGAAGCTTTCTGGCAGAAAAAACTCCGCTAAACTCTCCTAAACAGTGTACAAAAACACTCTATATGAGCATTTTTTATCTGCCAAGGGAACTAGTGTTTTATAAGCCCAGTGTGCATGGAGCCTTAATGGATCTAATTCACTAAAATTAAGTGAACTGCATGAATTTACTCTGAACTGAAAAATTTTTCACAAAAACTGGATGTCAGAAGTGAACAAAAAGCAGAACTAAACCCATGGATATAATGGCTTTCCAAAGCAGTTACATTCAAGACATGCCTTGAATGATAACCATTTCGGTTACCGGCGTGCTTCTAGCCCTCAAATGAACTGTCAACCTGTACAATGGCTGGGGTCAGCAGGTTTCACATGAGCAGCACCATGGCAACTGTAGATCAAACCGAGGCTAAAATGGCAGCTTCTTTGGCTGCAAACAATAGAAGGGTGTAGTTCTGCTTTGATTTTCTTCCCATTAGGGGATCAAGTGTGAAAAGGTCTTACATTATTTTAACAGATTTTTCAGAAGCTTTTAACCATTTCCAGCAGTCTATCACATATTTTGTTATGGGGCTGCATATGGCAAGCCTGATTCCTGAGGAGCCAGACAACTGCAAGACACATCAGTGCAGGCACGGCAGCTCATTCATTTGAATGGACCGCTGTAACCACTTTTTCCTGTAAGAATAAGGTCCCTGGTCTTTTTAAAAACGCTGTGGAATGAAATTTGCATTTTTAGTGCCTGGACTTAATGGCACACCGCACGTTTTCTGTGCAGCTGCAAGAATGCATGCAATTACACATATTTCTGCACAGATCTGAACCTAGCTTTATTGTAGAAAAGACACAATGAAAGAAACCTACTTGCCTGCTCTCAGCTACCTGTAGAATGTACACTAAGCTGTGCATGCACAGCTCAGTTTACATTCCAGTACAGTGCCTCTGTCAGGATGACTGAAATCCAGCAGCAGTGACAATATCCTTCATGACACAATCAAGGCGGCTGAAGACCAACACCCAGAAGAAGCCAAGAAGATGCCAGTGAGTTGAAGCAAAAGTACTGCAGACATTAGTTTGAGTGCGCATTGGAAACATTGAATCATTATGACTAGAGGATAGAATGTGAATTCTTAGTTTTAAATTTAGCATTCAACTGAAATGTGGAAAAAAACAAGAGCTCCATTCCTCACCAGAGTAATGGTGGATCAATCCTGCAGTAAGTGGTATCAAACATTTCGAGATAAGACAGATGTGTCAACACTGAACTCAGAATTCCAGTAGGTCAGCCATTTAATAAAGAACCACACAGTTATGTTAAAAGGAAAATAGTGAGATAAGGTACTAAACAATGGTTATCAAGCTTAGCAACTATAAGTAATATTCATTAAAAAAAAAATGACAGCCTTTCCCGGCACAGAAAAACATCCACAATAAGTGATGTAGGCTTAAGTACCATGCAACCTAAAATACAAGCCGGATTTTTTTTTTTTTTTTACACATAAAACATAGTATTAAAGGCTGCAAGAACCCATATTAAACAGTAGTTTGGTGCACGAACCTGTTCGTTTTATAATTCATCAGTTTCTAAGGTTTAATATTTAGTTCAACTAATATTACACATAAGTATATTCAAACCCTACAAACTGCTTAAGATGTGTTATGTTTACAGGGTATAAGTGGAATCTGTCA